AACCAAAATACCCACCACAATCCAACGTCAGTGTCCTTGACCTAAATACGCTCACTGCACTAAATACAGAAAAATAAAAGAGGATTGTAGTGACTTCCTTAGTACAGCATTATGTTGGAAACTCATGATGGGTTTCTTGCCTAGCACTTTAGATCCCACTCAGCTTTCTCGGGGTGGTTGCCCCTCTTTGGTGTTACTTTGCACTTAAGAGTCATATTTATCAAACAATTCAGTTTACTGAATAGTATTTCGTATATCACCTGATTATCTCATCCTTTTTCTACCCACAAGTTTATCAGCATTTATACATACTCCAGAAATGCCCGATAAAATGTGAAATTCACAGTATGGTTTGTTTATGATACTCAGCAGTATCATAATAGTATCAAAAAATGGGTTTCATCACACCATGGGATGACCTGACCAATACCACAAGTAACCTGGGGTCCTCATACAGTACATAAGCAGAGGTATGCATATTCTGGTGGTGACAAAATATACCTGAGATTTGAAGCGCTTTTTAACTTAGATAAGCATGATAAATCTTCCTAGAGGAGCTCAAGGTCAAGAAAAACTGCATCAGTTTCCAGTTTGCTATTTTCAAAGCATCAGAACAGCAAAATCCATTTATAATATAGTTGTTAAATACTACAAAAGAATGTAATCATTAGATGGCATTTCTGAATTTATAAGAATACTGCCTTCATAGCATTGTTGCAGAATATTTCAACATCTTGGGCACTGATGTTTAAATGCATTCCATTTAAATCAAAATTTGAATTATAGAGGTGAAGAACCACCAAACCCCAAATTTCTTCATTATTAAGATTTCAGTCACTAAGAATGATGATTGTTTTAAAAAACTTGTAAAGATTGTATGAATTCTGATTATCAAAATTTCTTTTCATGGACTATGTGGAAATTCAGATGAGGTGGGGTTGGAGGACTGTTAGCACTTCATACCCTTTCTCTTCACAGTGGATTGTAATTATATGATGACAACCCCTCTGGTGGGAGCCTCTGTAATGCTGATATAGAAACCTGTCGTTAAAAAGGATTCAAATGAGATCTATGTGCTTTTAATGGTATTAACTGCCATTATGAGTAATAGCCTTGCTGACTGAATAATGTGGATACATGGTGTAGGGCATCACACTTGAATGTTCATGTTTTCTGTATTCTTCAAGGAAAAATGCTTTTAAATAATGCAAAAGCAGCTCAGTTCCTTCCTCCTGAAAACCCTGCTGACAATAGTCAAAATCCGTTGTGATTTAGTGAAAAACATGGCACCAAATCCCCAATAATTGCAAAAAAAAAAAAAATCTCATTCACTTTTTGGAAAGAAAGTTTTGCTATTGCTAATCAGAAAGTATTGTGACCAATCGACCTTTATATTATTTTGGATTTGTCTCTGGAATCTGCTTGTCTATCCTTGCCCCTGCAGTCTCCAAACCTCTGAATCCTGGGTGATTTTCTCGCAGTAAAAAGTTACGTAAAGATCTTTGCAGGGACCATGAATTCTACTCCCAGTGTCCAGTAGCTTTGTTTAGTGTAAGGCTGTATGTATGTTCAGATAGGAGAAGTAACCTAGATGAGTTGCCAGCCTGGATGTCCGTGTGACAAGATGCCTCCTCTCTAAGCTACTAGTGCCTGCTCAATACTCTCTGCTATCATCATGTCATGATTAATCTGTGACATGGTTAATTGTTCATTGTTCTTTGAGAACTTAACCCCAAGTAAAGGGATAGCTGTAGCAAACTACCCATGGGACTCCACATCATGCTTCCTTCATTCCCCCAGCCTGCTGTGGTTGGTTGCATAGAGCGTCTTCCAGAGGCAGATCCTCCTCTGGGAGGTCTGCAGCCTCTTGTGGCAAAAGGGAATCCTCTTCTATTTTCACTCACTACTCAAAGGATGCAAGTTTAAAGCTTCACTAATTGCAAATGAGGGGGCACCTGGGGCCCAATCCATGTCTTTTGGAAGATGATGTTGCCTTGCAATGTGCTGAAGTTTCTCTGTTCCTACAGAAGTCAATAAAGGTCGAAAGTGTTCAGGAGCACTGACCTTTGTAATGTATTAACCCAACTTCTATTGACCGCCTGAGAGGTAAGTGCTCAGGAGAAGTGCTGTTTCTGACTGTTCTCTGAAATTTTTGAACAGTTTTGTTTGACCTTCTTGGTGCTACAGCTGTGTAAACACGTCTTCTATATAAAGCATTTAATTTTGTGTTGGGCTGAAAATACTGTATAACAGAAAATTCTCAGTGTTGCAGCATGAGATAAACTGATATCAAAGCTATCAAGTGCAAAGTCCTGAGAAACCTCATTTACTACTTGTAGATCTGTAAGTCACTGAATCTGATCTGTCAGAAGTGGAGCTATGCATGATAAGAGCAGTGGGTCAAGGCTGAGCAGAATAATCATGCAGCAGCAGCCTTGAGCTCCACAATTAGCAAAGGATCTCAGTAAAATGGTTCCCACTGACAGACTCACTTGAAGAAAAATACAATAGAGAGTTCAGAGCTCAGGGTTCCTAATTCTTGATTGGCACTAAGCATTTTAAAACAGGGGAAGAATCAAAATAAAGGACTTCAGCCCAGCTTGAAATTAATGCCTTGTGTGTAGAAAGGCTTACTTGATACCACAGGAGAGTCATTTCTTCTGTATTTACTATTGATAGTAAAACTATCAAATTATGTCAACCCAATCTCTATAATTGGTTGCTAGACTGACTCTTAATGTCAAGCAAACTTGGTGCCATACACTCAGCAATTCCCTGTCACTAACAAATTAAGCTCACAAAGTGCACCTTGATCCTTCCTTTAAGCATATTGGAGTCAGTTTCTCATTCCAGCTATGTTTTCCATGTACACCATTATCTCCTTCCCTTCCTGGAATGAATATCTTAAAAATCTCCCTTTTTCTTGAGCTCAAGGCTGAGTTTCCCACAGGTCATCTTGAGGCTGGTGATGCTATTCTAGTATCTATTCTTTTTTTTTTATGTAAAGCACATCTGATATTTGTTTTTTTCTGTATAAATTCAGACTTGCTCTGAATGCAAAGGAAACCACTGACATCACCAAGATATTAAATGAGGTTTATAAAAATATGAAGAAGTCCTTGGCTGCCATCCATCACCATGTGAAGGGACCTGTTGTGGCTGGAGCACTAAACATGTCTCAGTAGAGACTTCTAGAGTAGGTCATGTTCCTTTGGTGCTGTCAGCCTTGAGGCCTGTGTATGCACTTGTCTGACTTTCTCATGCAGTTTCTTGGAAAGGGTATGGACCTGATGACTTGCACCTTATTTTGGGTGCTGCTTTACCCTACAGTCATTCTGTTCAAGTTGAACATATAGATATCAAAATCTATTTTTAGCATTCAGGAACTAACTGGAGGTTTGGCCTCCTCAGTGCGCTGTTATTTCAAACACTACTTCTGACTACCCAGAACCCTCTCCTCTGGCATTTTTATCTGCAAACTAAATATAAATTACAGTGACTATCTATATTTTACTATTTGCAACCTCTAGTATGTATTCCATAGCTCATTCCTTTAATTAAATCTGTGATTTACAAAGTCATTTGCCTTGTGTTGGAGTTGTCTCAGAGACTTCTACCATAATAATAACTAACCACTAATCTGTGAAAATTTCTGAGTTAAAACACACCAGGTTAATAACTGGGACTAGTACTCATTTGTTGTGAGTGTAAATGTTTGTGAAGAGGAAAATCTGTCTCATTTGTATACCAGGCTATGTTTCTATTACTGAATTTTCCTGGGAACTGTCCTGCAAATCCTTGAGGTTACACCACATTACACTTGGGTTGACTCAAATGACCTCAATGAAGTTGCTGGGGTGACTGAGGGCAGATCTGGGATTCTCTGAGTCTAATTCTGCACTCTTTATGGGAGTAAAGCACTAATTAATCCTGAGGAATTACAGACTCCTTTACTGTGTAAAGATGCAAAAATGCTCAAAAGGAAGAAAAGGGAAAGAACCCTTTAGGTGGCTGATAACTGTCATTTGAGATAAGCTTTTGCATTTCTGAGCCAGGGTCAGAAAGGTGGCACGTGTAAACAGGTAAGCAATGGGTACCCCAGATTAATCAGTGTTGCATTTGGGTTTATTTGCCATAAAAGGGGGGATGTTAGGGTTATCTCAGTTACAAAGCATCTCTCCATTAGTAAACAGTCATCATTTTTAATGAGCCTTTCCATCTAAAGGGTATTTACCTTGGGGAAAGCATTTTTTTTTGCTGTAGCTCCCCTCTCCCCACACCCCTTTCTCAAACACAAGTGAGCCTAGACAACACGAGACCTACTCCTGATTTTACACACTCCTAAGCAGAGTTAAAGGTGTATAGTGCTGATTTTAGTATCCATTTGCACTCAGTAACTGCTTTGAAGGGTAGCATTAGGACCTTGGCTACTTCTGCAAACGATGAGCCCGTGGCATTAGCATGGATGTGAAAGCCTCATGTGTCTTGAATACTCAGAGGATCTAATTAACAGGTAGAATCGCACCCTGGGTGCTTGAGAAATTGCCAGACACCATAGAAACGAGTCCTTAAGTCCCCGCACCATCTGCACTTCCTTTTCATTGTGGAAGCCTCATTGAAACATGCTTTTTTTGACCATTCTAAATTCATTTGTGAGTGAGTGGAAAATTTCCCGCTGATGGTTTTCTTTTTCATTAAAATAAAACAAAAATCTGAAAATTCTGTCCTTCAATCGTGAGGAAAAAAAAATCAAAAACTCAAGCTTTGACGAAATAATGAATCGTTGAATTTGCCACTGAATATTTGCCTATCATTGCCACAACCTCTTTAAACGACTGCTTAAAAGAAAAAGAAACCAACAGGAGGGTCTGAAGATCGGTCATCAAGGCACCGGCACATCCTTAAATCCAGGATTCACGCGTGTTCCTGCCTTGGGGGACCGGTCCCTGCCCCGCTCTGACCTCCCTCCCCGTGCCCGGGAGATCCTAAACCGCTGTTACCTGTTAGCTGCCAACCGGGATGAGATATACCCGCCGGGGATTTGGGTGATGATGTATCCCCAGAAAAAAGAGCCGTGGATCATGCCAACTGTTTCCGGATCCCAATTAAACTTTGCTTTCTTCCAACGCAAAGGACCAGCAGAGAAGGAGAGAAAGAAAAAAGGAAGGCTGTAATCTTGCCGAATTAAAGCATCCACCCGTAGTACCTTTATACCGGGCAGTCGTGGGGAGTCTGTCTAACCTCGGCGGTGGCACACCGCGCTGCTGGCTCTGCTTTAGCCCAGCAAATACACCACCTACATCAGCTACAAACCTAATTAACAATAGGAACAACAAGAGCACCGGGCGTCCTGCGACGCATGGCTCAGGAGTGACCAGATTCCCATGTGCTCAGAGCCGAGGAGCCCCGGCGAAACACAGGACCGGCGGGACCCTCGGCTGCTGCTACAAGCACCCACCCCTTGCCCTAGGGCTAGGCTCCGGACTTGTGTATTGAACCCTCACCTGTGCTTAGCAACTCTGCTTTCTCCCTAAGCTGTAACTCGCTTTAGAACGGGAGAACGGGTCTTTATTAAAGCAAACGCTCCCACTCCGGTGTTTTCAGACATTCCTACACAACATTCCCCTTCCCGTCGCTGCTACAGCGCATCCCCTGGTACCAGCTCACCCGGCGCCCTGCTCTCTCCCGGCCCCTCCGCTTGTTGTACGAAGTGTCTGTGGGTTGAGGGCAAAAGAAAAATAAATGTGTCCTCAAATTACTACCGCAAAACGGGGCTGGAAAGCGGAAAGGCAAACTAGGAATAACGGGAAGAAATAGCTTCTCCTTTACGAATTCCGCCCTGGAAGGGGCCGGGCAGTGCGCGCGGGGCCGCCCTTGGGGAGCGGGGGGCACCTCAGGGCCCCCGACCGAGGCTGTGCTGCGAGGAAGTGGGATCTGCGAGGGAAGGGTTCCCACCTCTTTGATAATTTTTCCTCCTCGGTGTATGGTGCTGTTATTGACCATATCCACGATGGCCACTCCCAAGTTACATCGGATCCCGAAGGAAATGCAGAATCCCAGTCCACTCATGATGGCAATGATGTACCTCCGGGGCAACCCGAAACAGGTACAGTCGCACAATGGGGCTTTCTTCTCGGGCATTTCCACGGGCTTCCCATCTTCCGTCAGCTCGATGGTGTCCCCTGGCTTCTGCCTCTTCTCTAGGACCCTGCCCGACACCAGGAGAAAGTCAAGCCCCAGCCGCCCGACCACCTGGGGCTTAACCCTCTGCTCCCCGCCCCTCGGATCCCTTGGGGTTGAGTTGGGGATTTATTCCTCGTTTTCCGTTCACCTTCAACTGTTCTTTAGACCTGTGCGAGTCAGGATTAGTCATGGTCAGCTCCCCCCGCCACCCCACCGCAGGAGCCCGGGGAGGAGCCCTGGCTGAGGACCGCTCATCTATCATTAAAGACTTCTCCTTAAAGATGTAGGAGGCGTTAAGAAGACATCATCTGTAACCACTGCGGAGGCGCCATGTTGGGTAGCCCAAAAGCCACAGCATGGAAAGCGAGACAGTCCTTTGGAGGCGGTTTTATTCCCTCCGTGCTGTATTAGGAGCACCAAAGGGGAATGATCTTGGTGTGCATCTCGCTTCAGGTCTGGGAGCAAAAGAGATGTTAACAGGAAAAGGACGGGGGGAGGGATTGCTACTTATTTTAGATTTGCAAAATGGCTGTCACATGTAGGGGAAGAAAACATGAGCGGCCTCAGAGAAGGCTTTCCACAAGATCGCAATCGCTCATAGCTTCACGTTGTGAGCAGGAATCCCTCAGCAGGTTTAACCTCCCCAGATCAGCTTTAAGCCAGATCTCATTGTGTCGTCGTGTCGTCCCCCGTCCGTGTCCCCCCACCCCGTCCCCGTCCCGTCCCCCCCCCCTCCCCCGCCCCTCCCCCGCCTCGTTTTTACATGAGAATCCTATCTTCTAATTTTCTCCTGGAGAACAATGTGCAGGAATCTGAAGTGGAAGGGTTATTTGCAGCAATCTCCAATCATCAGAAAAACACCTAAAAAGAACCCCTAAACTGCACCCCTGGCACTCACGAAAGGGGATTTAGAACTTTTCAATTTATTTCTTCCTTGGTGGAAAAGCTTTTCAAATGCCGTGTCGGCAGTAAACAAGATCGGGTCCATCTAGCAAGTGTCCCACGCTGAACCTCTTCATCTTCTTTTGCAGTCACCGAGATATTTAAAAGACAGGAAAACGGTCCGCTTGCACTCAAGCCCCATCGCCCTGATGTGAGCATTCCCAAGCCTCTGGGCTGTCCTACCCCTGCCCTCAGGAGTCTTTCCTCACGTCGGAAATACTCCTCCAAGGAGCATCCCTTTGAGGTTAACTCATCCGGCTAATGGGCACTAACAATTAGCAGAATGAGGCTCAAAAACTCTGTTTTGGAGAAAATCCCCGTATTTTTTCCAAGTTACTCGGTTGAAATTATCCTGATTTTTCTTTGCTGGGAGATTTCTTCCCATGTTTAAAGACAGCAGCATGAAGAAGCGTCTTGAAGGTGTGGACAAAATAAACCACCTTGGATGTATGTTCAGAATTCGTTTGTGCAAATTAAGGACGATGTAGAAGCGTTTTCCTCCTGAAACGGCTTCTTGTCTTAGGGCAGATACCAGAAATCAGTGTATAAAGGACAGGAAAACTACTGTAATTCTAAGATTCTGAAGAGAAGTAATTCAGTCCCGCGAGATGAAAAAGATTTATAAATCGTGCATTTGTTCATCAAGGGGGGAGTTCAAACGGAGTTCTGCTGGAAAATACAAACACCGTTTCTCCATTATTTGCTCTGTTCTTAAAAAGCACTAGATATGATAGTTTTATATGTTGTTGAGTCTTTTCGGGAGATAGGAGGTTTATTTCCTTCGTTATATTCATATTGTATATGTATATGTTTATATTATTATGGATTTTCTTTTTTCTTTTTCTTTATTTTCATTTTCTGACCATTGAAAATGACTCAAATATGACCAAACCCTGCAGAATATTCACTGCGGTGTTGATGGCTTGCTTTTGCCTTTGGCTTTTCAAAATCGCCCCCTTCCTACTAAGACGACAATCTTCATTTTGCTTTTATCACCTCACTGATGTGTCCCCCATGCCTGCAAATGGCAGCAGCAGTTGTGACTCATGCTGTGGCACAGCCCTGTGCTTGTGCCCGGCACTGCCGCATAGGTAGGGAGAAAAGACTTTTACGTGACCTGCACTAGGCAGATAAATCCGCAGTTCCCTCTCTGTAATTCGGGGAGAAAAATATCCTCAAATTTCGGCGTACTTTGTAGCAGAGGCAACAATCGAAAATACGCTGGAATTTCACAGAGTACTCTCAAACGTCCTGGAGGTCGCTCAGGTGGCCAGATTGGATCGAGCACGATGTGTCAGCTTCGTGCACTTCATACACAGGTGTGCGAGAATTTGGGGTCGGTTTTCTGTGTACAGGGCTCGGAGGCGGCAGAAATGTTCAGTACACACACAAACGTACTGTTGAGGGATACTTTTGGGTTTAGCAATTGCAGTTGTGTATTACCTATAATAGAAGTGGAAGCTTCTCAAGGCAGACGGATAAATAATTAAACACATCCCTCTATATGTTTCAGCTTCAGGAGAAAAAAAAATCGTTCGGATATTAATTATTTATACATCTCCATGTTTATCTTCCTCTGGCGACGAATTACACAAGGGAGAAGACTAATCGAAACCAGGAAAGATTATTATTATTATTAGTAGTAGTAGTAGTTAATGATTGGTAAGGGCAGCAGGAAAGACCCTGTGACTGCATTGCAAAATTAACACAGAGCCAGAATACCGGGAGCTGCTCTCCCTTGCTTACGATTTCAAGATGGGATCCTGGTTTTGTGGGAGAGAGATGGGGTAATCTTTCCCTTCGTATTTACTGACACTATCTACGAATCAGATAGAGAAGTTACGAGGGTGCCATATTGAGAAGATTCAGCAGTAGTTTGCAGGATCCAGATTAGATCAGCAGTCTCTCAACGGCTCCCAGCCCTGCCACTACGAACATCCCCAAAGCATCCGACCTCCTTCATCAGCTGCCGGTGAGGAAAAGCTTCCCATTATTTCTAGGAGTTAGAGCCCTATAAGAGATCGCAGTCTTACCTGTAGAGTTGACCAAGAGATTTGCCAGCAAAATTCTTCAATCCCTCCTTGCCAGGGGTCAAAATCCTTTGTTTTACCGACTCCATTCCTGCGGGGGTGCTCGCTGGATTCTGCTCTGCTCTGGATAGGGCACTGCTACAAGCAACGGTGGTTCATATTGGTTTAATCTCTTAACTTTTTCCCCTCATTAAACGGCTCTCAGCGTACCTCCGGGGAAAGGGAGAGTGAGAGGAAGCGTGCGCGCCCGTGTGTGTGTGAGAGGGAGCGGAGAGGCGGCGTGCAGAGCCGAGGGGCGGGGGGGCGAGGGCGAGGGAGCGCGCCTGTGTGCGGCGGCGAGCGGCAGCCCGAGCACGCAGCAGGCAGCCCCCGGCTTTCCTGGCAGCGCGGAGTTGCCACGCACGGTCAGAAAGTCTTCTTGGCCTCGCAGGGTTCGCTGCTGGCAGGTGGAGGCAGTGGAGGGAGTCCGGCTGGGAGGGGACGGAGATCCCTTTGCGGGAGCGCTTCAATGCGATCTCGGGCTGGCGCTGGCGGCTGGAGGGGGATGGGTGAGCTTCTCCGCCGTAGGCAGAACGGCCGCTGGCTAAACCCTAGACGGCGAGGAGCCCCGGCTTGTCCGCACTGCCGCCCGCCCTCCGCGCAGGGCTGCTCCCACCGCGGCCGCGCAGGTCGCGCCCTGAGGCGGCGGCGGCGAGAGGCACCCTCAGGGCACCTCGGCCCGTTCAGCACCGTGGACAGCACCGCAGTCCGCTGGGTCCTCTTGGACTCTCCTCGTCGTCGCCCCGCTCCTCGGGGCTGGTTTGCCGTACGTCGGGGCAAGCGTGGAGAGAGAAAGGGGCCTTCGTGCCGTCAGTCAGGGCGCTAACTTCACATGGCACCGCTCTTGCTATAAATAGATAACATCTATTCTAAAGGTATATTTATCTCTATAGTCATCTTTACTTGCACTGCTTACTTTATATCGTATTAGGCATCCATTAGTGACTGCATTCTCTTAAACATTTAATATTTCCCATCTCTTCTGTGTCCTCTGCTTTCATGCCTCTGTGTAGGCCAGCATAACGTTTAGACTTGTGTCAGTGTTCCAGAACTGGAATGAGCTGGGTGTATTCTGAACTGAATTATTTTTTCTTTGCAGGTCTAGTAATTATTTTCCCACTTTAATCACTCTGAAGTAGATTGAAGATGCAAAATGTACTATTTCTTTCTAAGTCACAACCATTACATTTCTACATTTCTCTTAGGCTTCATGTGAATCCTAATGTTTCTATGTATTTTTTAATTAAAAAAAAAAAAAACAAAACAACAAACCTGTGTTCTGATCAAATCCTCCTAAAATTATCAAACTCTTTCACTTGCTTCGTTGATGACAAAAGGTAAACAGAGTATTTAAAAGTAAGATTCCCTGATGGAAACGGGTGTTGTAGCTGCAGTGCCCTAAATGCAGCTGCTCTCTGGATTTATGTAACTATTTTTTCCGATGTTGCCCTCTCGTGGAGGGTTAATGAAGTTTTACAGCAGCAAAGCACATTTATACAAGGATTTTTTTTTAATATTTTTTTTTAAATATTGAAATTCCCATAATGAATAATCAGCGTAGAATTTTGATATTTCCTTTCAAAATCGTAAAAGAGCCACAAAGTACTAAAAGAGAAAATAAATGATGTGTAAATGATAGGTAATTGCAATGTTGTTAATTAACATCATAACACAGAGCTGATTTCTGAATAGTGATAGGTACTGAGGGAGGGGGGGTTTCAGCACAGGTTTCAGTGCAGCATCTTGCCTACTATTGTGCTGCCAACAGGATTTTTCCCAATGGAAGCAAAGCTGCACAGTTACATAAGCAAGTCTTCCCAGGGTTTCACAGCTTCGGTGTGCCATTGCAGAAGCTCAAAGGAAACCTGTATTAATAGCTTCTTCTGACAGGCAGCAGGAACAGGAAGGCATTTAGCAGGGATGCAAAGGGATAGGATTCCATAACGCCAGCCTTCCAGAAAAGTACTGAGCCCTTTTCTGAGCTGGAATTTGAGACTGGAAATCTGCAGAGCAAGGGTGCTTTGTTCATTTGTGCACTACCTATGAGGAGCTCTGTCCCTTTTCTTTAGCAAACTCAGCACTGGCGTGGTTTTGATGCTATGGCTACTAAATAGCAGCAATAATTATTAGAAAAATCATAGCATTTTCTAAGTAAATGACTGATTTGGGAAAGATTATTATATCACACAAAAATGGATTTACAGGAAGGATGAGACATTCCTGGGTGTAGAATCATACTTGAGGAGAATTAATTAGTCCTTAATTGGGTAAAATATGCAAAACAGCAATAGTACAGTGAAATGCTACAGTGTCTGGGGCTGCTGCTGTAGCCATCTGAAGCAGAAATTCTGTGTCTATCACATGTTATATCCAGCTATTACTGACTCACATCCTGATCGAGCTCATCTGCCTTGGGTTTACATGAGGCACTAATAAAGAAAGCTAATATCAGTGTTACAAAATATGTACAGACCTGTCAGCTTTTTAAACTTTTTATATTTTATTATTTATTGCATGTTACTGACACAAGTTATTTAGCCCTAGTAGATTACAGCACTTCTGGAAGAAAAAACACATTAATATATGCTTTCAGAATTATTATCAATATTTATTTCTATAACAAATACCTGTCACAGACAGACTTCTTTCACAAAAGACCTAATTCACACTCCAGTGAAATTCCTGTGAGGTCTTTCCACTGGTGTCAGTGGAAAGTGAAATAGGATGTGATGCAGCAAATTCCCATCCAGATATCACAGCTAAATGTTCACATATTGACCAGAAGAATAGAGATTTGGTCAAAAATCACCCAGTAAAAAATGCAGTTCTGAAAAACTCTTAACAATTCCTGTGGGTCTGGGATGACAGTGTAGGATGCAGGATGCTGCAGGTGCCTGCAGTTTTTCACATAGAGAGGAAAGCTTATTGTTTAATCCCCAGATCTTGTATTTAAACACAACTCTCTTTGCCTGAGAAGAGTTTCCTTTTGTTTTGTTTTTTTCTTGGATGGAGACTAAAGGACTGAGTCCTTACCTGCGCTTTTGTTTCTGTAAATAGTTAATTTTTACAAGTTCCTCATTGAGCTATTTCAACAAGTTAATTGAAAAGACATGAAGAATTACAGGCATGGTCTTAGCTTAGTTTTTCTTATTGCTATATAGATAATCTCAAAAATTTCCTCATTAACCCTTAGTGTAGTGTCTAATTAGAGTATAATCCTTTTAGAGGACTACAAAGGCAACACAGTGATATATATTTCCCTAAGTTTTAGTCTGTCCAAACAAGACTAAAATTTTCATAAGACTAAAATTTTCATCACACTAAAATTTTCATCAGTGTTACATACCAGTGATTTAAAAATACAAATTATTTCAATTCCGCTTTTGACCTTGTCTTCACTGCTGGTACACTGCCAGATGGATTTGGTCCTTCCCAAGTGTCATGAATGCAGATCTTGTAAATGAATATATGTTTTATGAATCATTTTGAAAAATAATCCTGGTATGTGTTACTTTGTATTCATATGATCATACAGATTAAATCTGAAAGATTTCATTTTACCCGTCTATTCAGAGGTGACCAAATACTGCTCTTAAGGATATTTCTTCAGAAATAAATTATGTGCTTAAAATCTTAGTTATGCCATGAAATGCATGTCTGTAATACCGAGTCATCTGGGACTGAGAATAACAGAAGTATGCCTTAAAAATGATGATCTGATTCTCACTTCTATGACATCTGTCTACTGAATTGAGTAAAATTTGATGTAACCTTAAGAACAAAGCAAATTTTTACCTTCTTTTGGAGCATGGAACTGCAAAATCCCAAAGCAAGGCCAAAAGAATGATCTTGCTTGTCAGGCACCAGGAAGATGGTCTTCTGGAAGAAGCAACAGCTATGCAAATAATTTTTCAATAAGCTATTTATTGAAAAGAAATATTCAATATTTCAAAACAAATACTGAAATGAAATCTTTTGCCAAGCCCTTGATGAAGAGGCAGAAAAAGAGGGCAAAGAGATTGTTTAAAATCGTGAGCTTCCTCATTCTTCCTGAAAGTCTGTGAGGGTCACTCACTTTGTTTTATCCTCCAGTGTCATGATGATTCCTAGCAGCAACTGGATAAGTCCCTTGAAAAACTCAGAGCAATTTGAGGATTTAGATGTAGTGTCCATGTGTTGATACATTAAAGATGTGCCTGTGCTGAATCCTGCATTCCCACTTGTAAAGACTCCTGAATCCCAGCTGAAACTACATGAAGCTGGGTTCACCGTACATTATAGATTATTTTGCCTCTTGCAGATATGTGCAGCAGTGGCTAAACATATATTTTATGAAATGTCCTTGTTCTTTTTTTGTGCACATAACCCCAAACCTAGGTTGTTCTCACAACGTGGTTACTATGTTCTGTTGAGATGTGTACTATACACAGAGTCGAAAGGAGAAACTTTAATGTGTCATAATGCTAGAAGTGAATTTCTTTCTGTTTCTTATTGATCTGTCTTGAACGATATTTTAATTTCCTGAGCTGCAGGCTGGATTGTTAATTTAAATGCTATAAACCAGACATGGCACAAGTTGAACTGTTGGAGCACATGTTGGTTCTCTGTGTCTTTAAAAACATTGTGAAGACTGTTGATGTTTCTCATTTTGTGTCGCAAAGAGAAAAAGCTTGAGCTGAAACAAGCTAAAGAATGTGTGTGCCTGGGCAGAACATGCCCACTCACATGGAAGGTCATTATCAAACAGCTCCTGCTTCTTAGAAATAGAAATCTGGAGCTTTGAGCCAAGATCACAGGAACAAATAGGAAAACTGAGCAAGAAGTTTGCCACAGAGGCAGAATAAATTACAATGGTGGAATTTGTCAAACAAAGTTATGGAGATTTTCCACTTCTTCAACTAAGTGTGATATACAACAGCCTGGAGCTTGTTAATTGTGCTGCTCTCTTGCAGGTGCTCCCATGCAGTTGCTAGAATGTTATTACATTGCTTTGCCAGTAGCCTGAGAAGTACAAGAAATGATAAATAATAGCGGATGGAAGTTGCGCACTCATTTTTTCAGGGTGATTTCTAGTTTTAAGACAAACTGCAGGTAATTTGCCAGAAATCTCTGCACTAGCATAGATGATGAAATACTCTAATGACTTGCTATAAACCCTAGTAGTTGGGAAGTTGCTATTGTTTTCTGAGAAGGTAACAACAGTCATTAAGAAAAAAAAAAAAAGGAAAAAGGCACAAAAGTATCTGGAAGCTGCATTTTTTTATTTTATTTATTTATTAAGTAATTTCTTGCTTTTAAAGTCCCGGTGTTAACTCTAATGGCAATGCCTAATTCCAAGGTAACCCAGCGTGTGTTTGGCTCTGGTAGCAGGGCAGGTTCATTATCCTGTTGAAGGTGTTGCCTTCAGCCATCTAGTGGTAAAAGCCATTAAGACACTGTAAGTGCAGACAATTTTTGGGCGCTGCTATGTATAGAGGATTTCGCTGAGGAAAAAAAAACCCAGATCCCACTAGGAGATTTGCAGTTACCATATATGAGTACACTATGGCTGGAAATTTTCCTGTTATTCAGAAAACCACAGAAAGATTATTTCTTCTATCATCCTGTTCCTGTCTAA